CCCCTGTCTTGTGTATGCAGATCAATAATAACTTATAACAGGCATTCTAAGCCCTGCTCAGGCAGCCCACTCACTTAATAATGAGGGCACCTGTACTGTTTCATGAAAGCCGTCGGGACAGTAATAAATCTGCTTCTCCCGCCTTAATTATTCGTCGCTTCGCGGGGCTTTCCACTGCAAACCGCACATCGTTGTAGCCGTCAGGTGGAGGCGGATGCAGCGGCGAGGTTTTCGAGGCGTCATTCGGTCATACGGAGGAGACTTCAGAGATGGATGGATGGGTGCCTCCTTCTCTACGGATCGCCCGACCGATCTGGTGCGTTCGCTTGCGTTTCTTTACCCGAGCGCGAGGCTTTTGCTGCGAGTTTTAGCTGTCTTTGCATACAGCCCCCAAAGCAAACCCAGCAAACCGGCCTGAGCAAAGCAAACCAACGGACGAGCCTTTCCTCTGGAGGGTCAATGAGCGAAGCAGAGCAAAGCGAAGCAGAGCACCTTTGGCTTTGGCTTTGCTTTGCTTGTCTCCTCTCCCTCGCCACCTTTGGCTTTGGCTTTGGCTTTGCTTTGCTTTGCTTTGCTGCTCTCCTCTCCCTCGCCACCGTTGGCTTTGGCTTTGCCTTTGCCTTTGCTATGCTTTGCTTTGCATTGATTGTTTCCCCTCCCTCGTGGCCGTTCACCTTGGGCCTTGCTTTGCTTTGCTTTGCTCTGTTGTAGTATTCCTTTGCTTTCTGTCATCCATCGATCACCAGGGTTTCGGTTTGCTTAGGTTTGCTTCGTTTTGTAGCCGCTGCATGCCTCCAAAGACCCCCCCTTTCCTTTTTCAGCGGAAGCAATTCCCTCTGCGACTTTTTTAGCAATTCCCTCCGATACATACGTATAAGTCACAGGTATACGTATATATCTGTGTGTACGACAGATCATTCATTCATACACTCGTTCGTCCATTTCTTCGTTTCCAATCGAAGATCGCTAGCCCGCGCTCAGCGTATGCACCACAACTAGTATATTCACACATACGCATCATTCATGTTCACTCTGTTTCGAGGAAGACAATCTGACAATATGGAGCAAGTGCAGGTGTGACCGCAGCGATACCTAGAACAAGAAAACGCTTTGTACTTATGACGTCCTTCCCTCGTGTGTAAACGACGAACACAGTCCTGCTCAGCTCAAGTACTTCATCGACATCTGTACCGACTATAGGTAGTGAACATATGTATCTTCGCCATGCGCGGTGCTTGTGGTGCATGGATCAGGCCATCAAAGTGTGTACTGGAGTTCGAGTAGCAGTGCGACCATTGACCATTCACAATTGCCTTCCGCATATTGCAGTCCCGTTTGGTCTGCTCAAGTTGGGGACGCTTCTCGTATATGGCGGTTCACAGAGCGGCGACCTGCTACGTGGGCTAATGCGGGCGCTTTGCACAATATCCTCCCTCAGATCGTCTGGAAAGCGTATGAGTGAGAAATAGCTCGAAAAGGATCAATATTCGAGAGCATAGCTTAAGAACTTCCCTGGCTTTGGCACTTGCCTGCATGTTGCTGTAGTTGATGAATGTGCTGCTCGAGCTGCCTCTGTAGTAATGTGAGGCCGTGTGCTGTGGTGCGACTCTCGCCCATGTACCGCTTCAGACTGCTCTTCTCTGCAATGTAGGTGTCAGACGTGTACATCCACGAGAACACATGGGAGTCCAGCAATGGCTGTGCGTTCGTACCTGCAATGATTTTGTCAAGCTTGTCTCTCTCTTTGTCGATCTGCACCTGCATTTGCTTTTCGGCCCACTGCAACTGTTGTTCGTACTCTGCACGACGTAAAACAAATGACGCCCACTATCGAAGACAGTCAACACGCCCACCGCTGATGAGTCGCTTAGCTTTCCCCTCTGCCTCCTGCGCTTGCGTTGCGGTGCTTTGCTTGGATTCTTCCAGCTCACGGCGCAGCGCATCGCGCTCGCGAGTCACCTGCAAAACACACACACGCACACCACACGTTCCGGGGGAAGAGGAAAGAAACGGCCACCTTTTCCAGCTCCTTTGTTATCTTTCCGTCTCCGTCTCTCCTCATCTGGACCTGGCTCAAGGCCGCTGAAACAAATGTCACATATGGCATTGTGTGCCATAGCTATGCAGTGCCTTGTTTGCCTTCCAATTGAGCCTGCTGTCTGGCCAGTGCTTGATCACTCCTCTCTTTCCCTGCACTCAGAAAGCGCATGTTCTCCTGCGTCTCTTCCAGCAGGTAATGCGTGCGTTGGAGATCCTTCTCAAGCCACTCGTTCTTTTGCTGAAGCTGCATGGCGTATGCACCACACGCATGGATCAGCGCATTCCACTTCACACACCTGTTGCATTTGGCTGCTTGTGTCCTGGAGTTGCCTGGCGAAGTGCTCCTCGTGACGACACCGCTCACGCTCAGCACTGCCCAACTTTAGCTGGCTCTCCTCCTGCATCTGCACCTATGACAGTGCCGTATGTACCGAGGGCACCGAGTCGAGACGTGTTCATCTCCCTTCAGAGTCCCACCTTCTTTATGGCCTGAATGTGTGCCTCTTTCCACGTGTCATACTGCTCCTTTGCTGTCGCCAGCTTAGCCCGCAGTGTCTGCTGGGAGTCCTCGGCACGATACCGCTCCTCGTCTGCCAAGCGATCGCGGGACTGAAACACCATGGATAGTTAGGTATGTGCTACCCATTCAGATGCACGTGCTCACCTCAATATCCCACTGCAACTGCGCGTTCATTTCAGCGAGCCGTCGCTGCTGCTCTATCAGATTATTCCTCTCGCGATGCAGCGCCTGTTGGACGTCCATCAGACTGGCCTACACGTGAATGCACATGCTTCTTATTCGGTGTACAAGTAGGTCGCGCGTAACGCAGTGTCGGTCTGCTTTCCTGCGCGTCCTTGAGGGCCTGGGCTTTCTCGTCAAGCTTCGTTTCAAGCAATGACTTTCGAGCAGACCATTCGTTCTACCGAAGACGATTACAGACGAAGTGTCTTCCCAGATTCCTGTTGGTACACCCACCTCCACCTTGTCCCGGATGAGTTTGGTCTCTCGTAGCTCCTGCTCGGCCATCTGCAGCTGCCCCTGGAGGGACGTCAGCTGAGACTTGGCCTCCGCGGCATCCGACTGAAGGGCACTGCGCTCGCGAGACCAGTGCTGAAAACCGGACGAAAAACAAGAATGGTAAGCCGCAGCTCCGCGTTCCCACCAAGTGACCGCCTGACCTGTCTCGCCTTTGCGAGGTCTTCGTCTGCTGCCTGTCTGAGCTGATGTGCCTTGTCGCATTGAGCTTTTGCCTGTGTGATATCCTGAACAATCAGAAAAGCATGAGACACGTCAGCCTCTGTCAATCGGCAGAGCGGTGGTCGATTTACCCGCTGCAGTGCGCAGTTGTCCGTCTCCAGTCGGCCGATCACTTGTTTCAGGCCCGATATCTCGCCACTTTTGGCTTCGTTTTCGTCCCGATGTGCTTTGAGCTGCTGGGTGGCGTCGTTCATGTCGATCTCGTGTGCGTGCGCGGCAGCCTGGAACTTCTCCTCGTAATGAGTCCTGCATAACGCCAACTCGCGCTCATTGCTCTCGCACAGACGGCGGCGTTGCTCCTCTATCTGCAGAGGCCCAGCAACATATTGAATCGACCCTCATCCTTTTCATTCATCACGTTCGCACACCTCGCATCATCATTCACGTTCGCACACCTCGTTTCGCAGCCTGTCTGTGTTGGCGGTAGCTGTAGCGAGTGCCTCGTCCATGTCGCGAGCCTGTTTCTTGTACTCCTTCACTTGCTGGGCTTGGTTCTGCATCAGGCAGCTGATCCTCTGTCTCATGTAATGGACGTACGGATTAACGTGCATACCTTGGTCCCATTTTCGAGTGCAGAAAGTCTGGTCAGGGCTATGGTGTACTCTTGCTGGAGCTGCTTAAGGTGATTCTCTACGCAGAGTCACCCACCCATTGCGTTGTATTCATGCGCTCCTGCGCTGGCGCTTTAGTGCATGACTACCGGCAGCGTGTCCGCCTTTGACCATATCCTCGTGGTGTCTCTCAAGCGTCCGCCGCTCGTCGGCCCTGTTCTGCCGCTCTGACTGAAGCGCAGAGTTTGTGGCCTATACGTGCGCGTGCAAAGATGTAAGGGACAGCACACGTTGCGCCCCGGGTTTGACCTGGACTTCAGCCTGCAGGGCTGCGATCTGGCGATCGAGCTTGCAGTGAATGTCCTCCTGCGAGGAAACGAGAACGCGATGCGAAAGTCACTACGAAACATGACATTTACTCGCCTTTTCCTGTCCGATAAGGTTGCACCGCTCCTGCCACGACGCCTGCACACAGCACCAGATACTAGTATCGGTCTCACTCTCACATTACACGTGGAGATCCGCTCACATTCTCCTTTTTCCTTTTGTCTCTCTCTTCGTCGAGTAGACGCTTGGCCTCAAACAGCGAATTCTTGAGTTTCTGACGCTCCTGCTCTACACGACGGGACTGGATCTCAAGCTGAAGTTGAGTATGCAATATCTGACACACCCGCCCGCCCCGCTGAGAGTGCACCCGTGCCTTCTGACCTGGGATGTGACTTCCTGTTTGATGTGCGTGACCTGCTTGATAGTCGATTCCTCAATGAGCTGCAAGTGACAATTAGCAACCAACGACGTACGTGCCCTCTTCCGGCCAACAACAACCAGCACATAGGTGTATCTCACGTGCTGTTGCATATGTGTGCACCTTGAAGTTCGTTTTCTCCTCGGCAAGCAGGTTTCGCAAGCAGCATGCCTCCGAACGCAATGTCTCGAGGCGCTCCTTCACCTGTGCCAGCCTGTCAACCATCTGGCTGTACATGGCACGGAATCTCTCCTCTGAGGCCTGGCGCTCTGATTCAGACGCAAGACATCATCGCACTAGGCACCTCTTGGCCGACAACGCAATCTGCCCACGCACCCTCCTGCATCTGAGCATTGTAGATGTCCTTTGCCGTCTGCAGCTCAGCCTCGTGCCGACGGTCAAGCCTACAAAGTGGGACTCCCACACGCGCACAGATGTGCTTGCGCTGTGCAGTCTCACTCATCCATTTGCTCTTCTGCGTCTAGGTGCAGTCGTGTGATGCGCGCTATTTCATCGCTTTGAGCCTGATGACAACAGATGCGTGTGCTATCTTTCTTGAGTCCCATGTCTGACCTTGACTTGTTTCAGAAGCCGGATGTTGGCATTTTTGAGCATCTCCAGGGATCTTACCAGCTCGCCATTTACATCACCCTGCTCTAACAAGTCGGCTTGAAGTGAGGAACAGCGTCGCTGAGCCTAGTGAATCAATACTCCATGGCGACAGCAGTTGTACAATGGGCTGACCATTACCTCCAAGAGGCTTTCTTTCAAAGCACTGTACTGTCGCGAGGGGGCGGTGGGCGTCCCAGCAATCGCTGAATTGAAAAGACCCTTGCACGATGTAATCGAGCAAGAAGTGCTCATCCATGCTGACCCGAGGAGTCTCCCTGGAGCGTCACCATTGAGCCCGGCGGAACTGAAGGGCGCGACATTTCACAATGCGTCTGCAACCCTCAATTCGCATACCGATTGTAAGCTCGTTGCAAGTTGGCTGTCCATACTCCGTTGGAGGAGCTTCAGCTCCGTGCTCAAAGTCACCTTCTCCGACCGCTCGGTGCCTACACAGACGGTGCAACCAGCTAAGGATTGGTATATATAGCGTCAACGAGGGCGTCCTACCGAGCCTCCGATCCTTTGTTGACCACAACAGGTTTCAAGTTCGGGACTCGCCTCAGCTTGAGGCACGTTCTTACCCGCCTTCCCGTCCGCTGCACAAAGCTAGCAATCCCTTCGGTTCCGTCAGCGGGGGGCCCTCCTTTCTTTCTTTTGAGAAACTGTTATACGCCCTCGAGGGTGTATAACAGTCCTCTTCGAACTCATCCCGTCCAGATCTACGCCCCTCTACCCCTCTTGAAGTGAAAGAGAGCCTATCTACGCAACGAGAAGCAACCTACGCAACCTGTCTATCTTGCTGAACGGCGACTGAGCCAACCCATCAAATCCCAGCCCCTTCAAGAAAGCAGAGTAGTTCTGCTCGTCATTCACGACCCGTCGTCAGTTGTGTCCAATCGGCATGAAGTCTTTGTTTCGATCTGGTAAGCCACATGTGGAAAAGGCAGCAAAGTAGACGGAAGAAAGCAGCACACTGCCCACCACACAGACCCACACAGAAACGCCGAAAGGCGGGATAAGACGAGTGCGCAAGCCTACCAAGGAAGGGCGGTGCCCTTTCCGAAAAAAAAAACAGGCCTCCGAAGAGGGAGGGAGGGAGGGAAAAAAGAAAACGACTGCCATGCAAAGTGCGCCGAACGAGTCAGTGTTAGGGTGTCCCCCGTTACACAGGCTCGTTACCCGTCGCCATAGCTCATCCCGCTCTCCCACTGCCCTCCTCCTCTCTCCCATTCCTCACCGAAATCCCCTTCACCTCCGTGAAACCCCATTCTGCTCGTCATTCACGACCCGTCGTCAGTTGTGTCCAATCGGCATGAAGTCTTTGTTTCTCAATGTAGTAAGCCACATGTGGAAAAGGCAGCAAAGTAGACGGAAGAAAGCAGCACACTGCCCACCATCCCACCCACCAAAAGGGGGAGCTCCGCAAGCGACAGCTTGCGCCAAAGAGAGAGGGCAGATGAGGGACGGCCTGTCGGGGTGAAGCCGAAAGGATTGGCGTGTTGGGGCTCATTTGGTTAGTGATAGAGACTCGTTGCGGACGAGGGGACAGCTACGGGAGGGCGAAGGAGAGGCGGGAAGACGAACACACGACAACGGAAACCCGGGGAGGCATCCAAGCAGCTCGTTGAGATCCGGCTAAGAGATAGCAGGCCGCTTCACCCCCAGCCCCCCTTTCTCTTGGCTGCCGTGACCGGGTAGACGTACACATGGCCCGTCACGATAGTGGACCCAGGTCCTACCACGATGTGATAGTCGGGTGCCGGACTCTCGTAGCGCGTCAGACGCCGCCTGAAGTCGCGCCAGTAGAAGACTTCTGCCGAAAGGAAGGCGTAGCTTGGGTCATCTCACTCATCCACCGCACACGTACCCAAAAAAAAGAACGACTCGCCCTCATCGAGGAGGCCGACCACAAGGCCTGAACCAGCGCCACCACAAGGAAGCAGCCGAAGAGAAAGAGCGGGGTAGCCAGAAAGCCTCCAGGACGCGGGCAGTACGGCAAGAAGGCAGAGGGCAGCCGTCGAGGGGTCATCCGCTGCATTAGGCCAGCACGCGCGACGCTGGACTCGCGGCTGATCTCCTCCAGCATCATCACACGCCGGCAGCAGCATGGCCATGACGCAGGTTCGTACATAACCTCCTCTGACCTATGTACATGGGAGGGGCAGCGATACAGACGCAGGGGGAGTCACAGGCACCTCACACAAGGAAAACGACTGCCATGCAAAGTGCGCCGAACGACGAAGGGGATCTCGTTCGTTCGTTCGTTAACCTCACGGGGACCTTGCCCCCCGGCCCCCCGAAGGGGTACGCAAGAACGAGTCTGTGTGATGCAGGCCTGTCTACCCACCCATCCCTATGGTCCACCACAAAAGGAAAGGCACTGGCACCGGCCGACACACAGATGACAACAGAGGGCACAGGTGACGAACACTTCCCCTGGCTACATACACAAGAACGGGCGATATCGCACGCCTCTGTGTCCTCGAGGGACGCGAAAGAAACGACGGACACCAGACGACTCTGTCTGTGTCCTCGCACCGATCAATCAGTGCAGCAGCTATTGCACGGTTTCACGGCAGCTACCCTGCGCATCCTAGTGCCACTCCTGGCTGGTCCTCGCGGCGCGCGGAGATCCGTTTTGCAGGCAGTCCAGTGAGATCCTTAGGGTAGCTAATCTAGACCCTACTCGCGAAACTTGCGCCGTGGTCAACTGGAGGAATTGAACCCACGACGACCGGCTCACATGACTCCGTGGCGAACCACTCGGCCATGGACCAGTGGGAGACCGCACTCGAGCGCGCGACGCAGAAGGGGAGCATGCGGTGCAGAAGGGAATATATATTGCATTCTCCAATGCGGCTCCTCAGCGCCAGCCGACAGCCCGAAACGCAGACACACAGGGGTGGTCAGTATGGGATTGGGGGGCTCGGCCTGCGCCCAGCGACGTCAGGGCCCGTGCGACACACGACAGACGCGCACGTACCACCCCGCCTCACGCCGGTGCTCCCGGGCGGTCTCCCAGATGGAGCGGTGTCTAGTGGTACGTGTGACTGCTTTGAGTTTGAACGTCGGACACTACACAGACCTCCAGAGGGCCCGAGTGGCCACACTGGAGTGTACGAATACTTCCAGAAACAGCA